GGGGCAGCATAGTGGGTGCCGACGACAGATTCAGATTTGACCTCGACATCCCTGGGGGGCTGCGATCTTCGAAACTGCTGCCACTTTCGAGGGCTGTTTGGGGGCCAGCATGGTAGGTACCGACGGCAGATTCAAATTCTGCCTCGACATCCCTGGGGGGCTGCGTTCTGCGAAACTGCTGCCACTTTCGAGGGCTGTTGGGGGGGACAGCATAGTGGGTGCCGATGGCAGATTCAATTTTAGATCTTGACATCTCTGGGAGGGGGGCGCTCTGCGAAGCTGTCGCCACTTTCGAGGGCTGCTCGGGGGGGCAACAGTGTGGGTGCCGACGGCAGATTCAAATTTTGACCTCGACATCCCTGGGAGGCTGCGATCTGCGAAACTGTCGCCACTTTCGAGGGCTGTGTGGGGGGGACAGCATGGTGGGTGCCGACGGCAGATTCAAATTTTTTGGGGGGTGCGGTTTGCGAAAATGTCGCCACTTTGAGGGTTGCGGGGGGGGGGGAGGGACATCATGGTGGGTGCCGACGGCAGATTCAGCTTAGACCTCGACGCTCCTGGGGGGGGGGGGAGGGGGCTGCGATCTGCGCAACCGTCGCTGCTTTTGAGGGCTGCTGGGGGGGGGGGCAGCATAATGGGTGCCGACGCCGATGCAACTTGGACTTGACATTCCGTGGTGGGGGTGGGGGACGGGGCAGCGATCTGCGAAACGGTCGCCACGTTCGAGATCGGCTGGGGGAAACAGCATGGATAGGCGCCGGCGGCCCCCTGGGCCTCCTCTCGCTTCTCCCTCGTCGGGTGCCGCTGCCTCCTGGCTTTTTTTTGTACCTCTGCTCTACAAGTCGGCCACGCACACGTCGCACGGTAAAGTGTTCGTTTTTCTATTTAGTGTTTTGCCGATCGGCGCGGGCCCCCTCCCCCCCCCTCCCCGCCCCCCCCTTGGAGGGGACCTTGGCTGTCTTCTGGCGCCTGTTTCGAGCAGCCGGAGCCTCCCCCAAAGTGGACGCCCTCTCCCAAACAGTCGCGCTCAGCCGAGGTCCGGAGCCAGGCCCCCCTTCCGCCCAATGTCGGCACGCCGAGTAAAAAAAAAAAACGCTAACGTATTGTCGGCGGCCTGCCCCGAATTTTCCCTTGTGCCGACCACCGCCCTCCGTTGCCTCGCCCCAGGGGCCGCCTCGGGCGACTGCGCCCTGTGCCCTGCCGGGAAATACGGAGCGCTGCATCCAGCAGCGCCAGCGGCGCTCCCCCTTCCTCTCCTCCTCCTCCTCCTCCTCCTCCTCCTCCTCCTCGTCCTCCTCCTCCTCCTCCTGCTCCTGCTCCTGCTCCTGCTCCTGCTCCTCCTCCTCCTGCTCCTCCTCCTCTCTCCTCCTTCTCCTCCTCCCTCCTCCTCCCTCCTACTCCTGCTCCTGCTCCTGGCTCCTCCTCCTCCTCCTCCTCCTCCTCCCATCCCCCTTTCCCCTCCCCTCCATCGTCCCCCCCCTGGGCCGCGCGCGTGCCTCGGGGCCGCGGGCTGCGAGCCCCCCCCCGTGGACGCCCCCGCTCCCCCTCCCCCTCGCGGGCGCCCCCCGGCCCGAGGGCGCCCCCGAGGGCGCGAAGCTGTTCGCGCTCCGCGCTTCGCGCTTCGGCCCCGAGGCCTCCTCCTCCTCCTTCCCCCCCCTGGGAGGCGACGCGAGCGCGCGAAGGTGTTCGCACCTCGCGCTTCGCGCTCCGCGAGGGCGCGGAGGGCGCGAAGCTGGGGGATCCCTTGCCGCCCGAGGCCATCATCGGGCTCTTCGACGTCAGCCACTACGTCAGCCAGGGGCAGCTCCTCGAGGTCGGGGCGAGGACGCCGACCTGCCCGTCGGGCGACGCGCAGCTGCTGGCGGACCTGGAGGACTTCTTCGAGAAGTCGTCCCGCGACAGGCCCGCCGGGGCCCGGGCCCGAAGCTTCGAGGTCGGGCTTTCGAGGGTCGCACTGCGAGGCCGACACGCCGGCCCACCCAATCCCCCCGAGCAGAAGTGCGAGTCCCTGGGTGCAGGCACGATTTGGGGACGTTGGGGTCGGACCGGCGGGCCCTCCCCCGAGGCTCGCGATGGGGCTCCGTCGGTCCTCGTCGGCCCCGCACTGGGCCTGGCCTTGCAGGCCCGGGTCCGGAGTTCGGGGTCGGACTTCGAGGGTCGGGGTCTGTGGGCGTCTTTCGCTCCCCTTGCGCCTCCACGGGGTCCCCGCCGCCAGGGCGGGATCCGCCTCTGGGGATCGGGGGCGAAAGGAGGACGTACACGCACACGACTCCACGTTGGCCTCGAACGTGCGCATCGCGCGAACGTGCGTATCGCGAGGCTGGTCTCGCGGACTGGGGGGGCCGTGCTCGTGTCCGCGGCCAGGCGCGCGCGTCCCGTGTGGACTCCCTGAGAGAGCACCCCACGGATGGGTCCGCGGGCCGATTGTTTGACTCCCGAACTTGAGTTCCGGGCATTGCAGACTTTGCGCGCCGATGGCGGAGCTCTCGGATGTTCGGGATCCCAGATCGCCGACGATGTGATCGAAGACGCCCACGGCGAATCCCCGCCACCCCCTGCCTTTTGGAAACGCCCAGGCGGCGAAACGTTGGGCCGAAGTCCGGCCAAGCTATTGGACTGAGTAGTCCCCCAGCCCTTGTGGAACCCCTCAGGGGAACACTGCGCAGAGGACGAGAGAGGCTGAGGAGAGGGAGGAGGAGGCGGAGGAGGAAGAAGAGGATGCCTCGTGAGTCCCTCTTGAGGCCTCTTGGGGACTTCCTGGGAGCCTTCAGGGGGAGGGGGGCTCTAAGGGGCATCTTGGGGGCCTCCTGGGGCCTTCTGGGGGTCTTCTGGAACCTCTCGGGAACATCTTGATGACCTCTTGCCGGCCTCCTGGGGGCCTCCTGGCCTTCGGAGGCCGTCTTGGGCTCTTCCTGGGCTGTCGTGGGTCCCTCTTTGGGCTCTTGAGGGCCCTCTTGGAAGTCTCTGGTGCCGTCTTGGGGGCGTCTTGGGGGCCTCTTGGACTGTGTAAGGTGCCCTCGTGGGCAGTCTTGCGGGTCTCTTGGGGGCCTCCTGGGCCGTCTTGGGGCGATCTGGGGGGCTCATGGGCCCGTCGTGGAGCGTCGGAGGCCCGAAACGGCGAGAACGCTAAAATCATCCAACAACACCGCACGGCAGTCAACGATTTGGGCCTCCTGGCAGTCCTCTTGGAGTCCACTTTGGGCATCTTCGGGGGCTCCTGTGTTCGCCTGGGGGACATCTTGGGCTGTCTTGGGCCATATTGGCCGCCTTGGAGGCATCTCGAGACCGTCTTGGAGGCCATCTCGGGTCTTCTTGGCCGTCTTGGAGCCATCTTGGCCGTCTTGGAGGCCATCTTGAGCGTCTTGTAGGACTCTTGGGCCGTCTTGGGGCCCTCTTGGGGCCGTCTTGGATGCTTTTTGGGCTGTCGTGGGGCCATCTTGGACGCCTCTTGGGCGATCTTGTGGCTATCTTGGAGGTTTGTTGGGCCGTCTCGGGCCGTCGGACGCCGAAACGGAGTAAACACCCAAATCCTTCAAGTACCGAAGGGACATCCACGAATATGGCCTCTTCGTGTCTTCCTGTATGTCCTCTTGGAGGCCTCTTGGGCCGTCTTGGCGGCCTCTGGGGGGCCTCCTGAGCCGTCTCATGTCACCTTGAGGCAATTTTCATGCCGTCTTGGGTGCATCCAGGGCCGCCTCGGAGGCATCTTGGAGCTATCTTGGAGGCCTCTCGGAGCCATCTTGGCCGTCCCAGAGTCACCTTGGAGGTCATCTTGGACCATCCTGGCTGTCTTGGGGAGGCGCCTGGGCCAATGGAGCGGCGCAGTGGTGCAGCTCTCGAGCCGAGGCTCCAGCGGGCCAGACAAACAACCACCCAGACATCCAGCACGCCAGGCACCCCTGTGACAAATCAACATGGGGCGGCGGATCGAAGACGCCTACGGCGAATCACCGCCGCCCCCTGTTTTCTGGAATCGCCCATGAGGCCGAGTGTTGTGGCAAGAGCTCTGCCAGGCTACCAGACCATGTGTGTTCCCCAGCCGTTGTGGAAACCCTTCGGAAAACACTTGGGGAGGATTGTGGGGAAGATCAGGAGGAGGAGGAGGAGGAGGAGAAGGATGATGATGATGTTGATGATGATGATGATGATGATGATGATGATGATGATGATGATGATGATGATGATGATGATGATGATGATGATGATGATGATGATGATGATGATGCTGATGATGCTGATGATGATGATGATGATGATGATGATGATGATGATGATGATGATGATGATGATGATGATGATGATGATGATGATGATGATGATGATGATGATGATGATGATGCTGATGATGATGATGATGATGATGATGATGATGATGATGATGATGATGATGAGGAGGAGGGAGGAGGAGGAGGAGGAGGAGGAGGAGGAGGAGGAGGAGGAGGCGGAGGAGGAGGAGGAGGAGGAGGAGGAGGATGAGGACGATGATGATGATGATGATGATGATGATGATGATGATGATGATGATGATGATGATGATGATGATGATGGAGGAGGAGGAGGAGGAGGAGGAGGAGGAGGAGGAGGAGGAGGAGGAGGAGAAGGAGGAGGGGGTGGAGGATGAGGAGGAGGAGGAGGCGGAGGAGGAGGAGGACCACTTAGGAGGAGGAGGATGAGGAGGAGGCGGAGGAGGCGGAGGAGCAGGAGGAGGAGGAGGAGGAGGAGCAAGCAAGCAAGCAAGACCTGGGCAGCCGTAGTCCTCTGCTGTCTGGCTCACCTCGGTTGGGTGAGAGTTCTAGCCACGAACAATTGCTGCTGGTACGATCAGTGCGCATCTCGGGCAAGCCTGCGGGACTTTATAGCCCATGTCGGACCTTCAAAAGCCCGCGTTAGCACGAAGGCGCGCCGCATTCGGTCAACTCGTAAAGCGCTGAGGCTTAGAGCACTTGGGCCCATCACCTCAACCTCGGGGAGGACAGGTGCGGGGGGGAGGCTCCTCGGGAACTGGGGCCACCGAAAGAAACAACAGCAGTACCACAGCCTCTTCGGGTCGCGTCGAAAGTTTGCGGTGTGTGCTCCTTCGTGCTGCGAAGTCTTCCCTCCAAACTCCTCACCCTCCATCCCCGCTCCCCCCACCCCACATCCGACTCATGCTGCCGTCGGGATTTGGAAGATAAAGTTACATCATTCTCACAACGTGTTGAGACTGCCTCAAGCTCAGTAGAAGGTCCAGCTGTCGGTGTAGGTCTGCTCAGTACCGACCGCTAGACAAATGCAGAGAAACTTATCTGTCCCACCAGTAGAGTACTGAATGAGAACTGCATGGCGTAGTGTGAAGCGAACCCCTCAGTCGATACGCTGTCTCTTCAGATCTCTCAGGAGTGACTTTGCTCTCTCGCTGCCTGCACTAGCCATTCGCCGAAGTCCAGCTACATCGATTGCTCCTGCACCGATGCCTGAACGGCTCTCTCCAGAGCTCCTGGCGGTGGACTCCCCAACTTCACTACGCCGCCTGTGGCCACCAGCCCCTTGATGATGTGGAGTCGGAGCTCCGCGAGCGTCGCCTGAGGCCGCTTGAGGCATGTCCGCCTGGTCTCCCGTCTTCTCCTTGTAGCGCTGCAGCAACTGAGGTCGCATGAACGGGCTGATCGTGATGGGGTTCAGCATGATGTGAAGCTTGGCCTCATCTGCTTTTTGGTTGCCCTCGTTGAACGTCTTCTTGATGCGGAAGTAGCGCACCAGCTCGTTCACCTCCTCTCTGTCCATCACTGTCATCAGCTTTGCGAACGGCTCGAGGATCGCCTTGGTATCTTCTGGCAAGCCCTGCATCTTCACGAGCGTGGGAATAATACAATACACCCGAAGATGTGCAGGTGCGGCGGACCGAGAGCTTTGCGTCCTTCCTCCGTGGCGAGGCGGTGGTACTCCTGGCCCATCCTCAGCCCGTCCGTCACCACCTGGTGCGTCAGCGCCAAGAGCAGGCAATCCCACAGGGCTCCCATCAAGATTCGTAGCACTTGAGTGTTGTTGAGCGTCAGCTTCTGCACGGTGAAGGTTCGCTCCGAGAGTACAGCATCCACATCGTCGTCTGAGCCAGGCCCACCTCCCTTGCCACGGGGGCGCCTGATGCGGCGTCCTCCGCGTGCTGGCGCTGCCGCGGCTGCCGCGGAGCCGGCTGCTCTCTGGGACGGCAGGCCGATCATCCACATTGACATCTTCGGCTGGTCCCGCGGCGTGCTGCTTGACGTGATCAAGGTGGTGTGAGAGTTCTGAAGTAGTGTGGGTACACAAGTTACACGTATAAGCTGATGCCTCTATCGGCGTAAACTCGAAAGAAACGGCTCTGGTCGGACATCGCGGCGGACTCGTACGTGACATTGTCCACACGTGCCGTACACAGCTGGCTCTCGATGCAAACACTTTGCGACACCAAGGGCGCAGTTGAGGCCTCTTGTGGCGTCATGCGGCCCGCTTGCGGGCCTCTTAAAGCTTCTTCTGGGCCTCTCGAGGGCCTCCTGGGGCCTCTTGGGTACTCCTGGGGGGCTTGCTGGCGATCTCGGGGGCTCTCTTGGGGGCGGAGGGCGGCTCGAAGTCTCAGCTCGAGGTCGCCATCTTGGGCCCATTTTGGGGCCCTCTTTGAGCCCTCTTAGGGCGTCTTGGGCGCCTCTTGTGCCGTCATGGGTCCCTCTTGTGCCGTCTAGGGGTCTTCTTGGGGGCCGTTTGGGCCGTCTTGGGGCAATCTTCGGGGCGTCATGGGCCGTCTTGGACGGCTTGAAAGTCCAAGAGACAAATATGTTGAACGTGAATGATGATACCTCAGAGAAAGATGCGATTTTTGCCTTCTGGGGTGCTCTCGGGGCCCTTGCGCCGTCTTGGGGCCACTACTGGCCGTCTTGAACCTGTCTTGGACCGCTCCAGGGCCCCCTTTGGCCATCTGAGGCGGTTGTTGAGACACTCTCGAGGGTTTGGGAGGTCGTCTTAGGCTGGCCGAGGAGCTCCCAGGAGCCTCCAGGGCCTCTCAGGAGCTCTCAAGAGCGTCTGGGATATCCCGGGAGCGGCTGGGGAACTGGGAATTCAGATTTTAGAATCCTGTAGCCCCTCTACTCTCACGGCTGCTAGGCTGCATGAGCCTTAGGGGAGAATCAACTACGTGCTGAAGGCACGGTGGCGGATCTTTTCAAGCTCCAGGCGTTCTTTCGTTCCCTGGAGCCCACAGAAGTTGGTGTGGGGGTAAAACACCGGCCCCAGGGGAAGTGGTCGGGACCCTGTTGGGCCGCGCACTGAAAAACGACACATCGTCGGATTTCTGGGCGAGGGCAAGCAGGGTCCCCCCCAAGGGGGGCGCGAAGATGGGCGCGCTTTGGGCGTCGCGGCCTGGGCCAGACGGCTGCACTCGTGCAAGGTGGTCTCGCGATGACGCGAAGATAGGCGCGCTTCGCGTATCTCGGGGCGCGACGCGCGAAGGCAGTTGACGTAGGTCGACAAACGTAAGACAGTTTGACA